AAATAAACTTAACCTAACCTAACCTAACCTAACCTAAAGGCCACGTTAATTTTTAAAAGCACTTTACATTTTGCTACCTTCTTTAAGCATTATTTAACTTCATAGTTTTTTACATTGTCCATCACTCTTAGTATGGAGATTCTTTGAGACTCAGAATCATTGTAGAATCAAAAACTGGGAGATATTTGTATTTCAAAATAAAATAATGTTTGAGGCATTATTCATTATGAGAAAGTTTTAGAGATTTGGATAGCAGCATGTGTATACCTTAATTTAAGCAGTAATTTGTGTTTTTGTCCCAAACAGAAAATAACATTTATGTTCATGATCTGTTGACCTTTCAACAGATCACAACAGTTTCCAAGGCAAAAGGTGCAACTCTCTTCACTTGTGATCTAAAGGTATGTAATGAAAAGAGGCTTGCCTACTTGAACTTTTGGCATGTTAGTTTAAAATGCAAAAAATCAATTAATTAATGTCCAGGAAGTAGGTGAATGGGAGAGATGCTGATCATTCACTACTTCTGAAAATCACATTTAGAGATGATTTTTAAAATACAGATAGTCTTCACTTATTGACTGCAATTGGAACCCGTTCTGTTGGATCTACTGTGAAATGAATTTTATTTCAGCCTGTTTTTAGGGAAGGAAAAAGATAATTAAGAAAAAAAAATGACAACAAGGCCTCCTCAGTGTTCATTTTTATTCTACTTTTGTTAGAAACAAATAAAAAACACAAGCTTGCATATAGCCAGACTTACATAGTACACTAATAAGGTTTGTTTGTGGCACAATTAAGGGAATGCACCCATAGTAATTTGCACGCCACTATTTACTGCTCAGCATATTGCAAAACAGCAATTGTGGTTTGCTGTACAATAAACCATATTTTAGAGAACAATGACATAACACTGTGAGCAGAGCTTAATATTGTGTTTTCCAGCTTTGATGCTTAGAGAAATATTTATTTTTACAGCACTCGGATACTGGAGAAGAGGTTCTTAGAATGTGTGTGGCAGTAAAAAAGAAGTTACAACTGTTTTATTGGAAGGACCGAAAATTCCATGAATTGCAGGTGCAGTATATATTATTTTTATTCATCAAACTTAGGTACTGTTCATCTCATTCTCATCACCATTCTATCATTCATATTAAAATGCAATTTTTGGTTTGAAATTGTCATTGATTATATTCAGAAAACATTTTCAAAAATAATTTGAGGGATTTAGTTCTTTAGCCCAATTTAACAGTTACCTAGCTTTTCTTTCAGAGCTTACTTGAAGTATAACATTAATTAACAAAGTACTAAGAAAAAGATTCTATAAAACTCAGGGAGATATATATTGATGATGTCTGTTGTTTTTTTTAATAAAAGAAATACCAGCTGTGCTTAAAACAGCTTTTAAAAAAAGTTAAGATCTCATGATCTGTTTTTAATTTGTACCCCTTAAACTAGAATGTAATGGAGAAAATTAAAGGTACATTGCTGGTGGTTGTCATCATGGTTTCTACAAGCCATATGGTCTACAACTGTATTAAACATACACTACTCAAGATATTTAAAAACATTAGATTTCCAGAAGAAGGAAACAGTTTTACAGAAAAAGTAGGATTTAGATGTCAAGGGCTGGGAAATTACCATTTAAATATCTTTCCTTACTAACATCCCCCAAATAAAGGAAAGGTGTTTTTTTTCCTGGGGAAGGCATAATGTTTAATATTTGGGCAATACTATTGAGAAGATATTCTAAAATCCCATTTGAGAAAGAGAGAAATTATTCAGCTTCTTTAATTGTACCTAATTAGACATTTTTTCTTCTTGATCTCCAGGGAGATTTCAGTGTGCCAGATGTACCTAAGTCGATGGCATGGTGTAAAGATTCAATCTGTGTTGGTTTCAAAAGGGATTATTATCTAATAAAGGTATTAGAATAATTAGACTAAGATGGAAAATACTGATTTTTCTGGATACTCTATGCAGGGGAAATGAATGATTGGAGCATGAATTATGAATTCTCATTTCCTATACTGAATAAACTTACTATATATAGTGAGCCTTCTGAGAAAATAGGCACTTTATTGCACTATATATTTGCTATGTCATCAGTGGTAGAAGTTGACATCCGAGAAATCCCTAAACAATTTGGCTATCGTTTGATCTATGGAGTTGATGAAATAACCTTAGTGATAGGAATACTGGGGAATGGAACAGCTCTTTCTAATAATAATAAGGATTATTGTGGTAATGGCTTTTTAAATTGAATGACCAGCTTTTTTAATTCATTCACAGGTAGATGGGAAGGGATCGATTAAGGAACTATTTCCTACAGGAAAGCAGCTTGAGCCATTAGTAGTCCCATTGATAGATGGCAAAGTTGTTGTAGGCCAAGATGATCTAACTGTTGTGTTGAATGAAGAAGGAGTCTGTACACAGAAATGTGCCTTCAATTGGACAGATATCCCAACAGCCATGGGTAAGAACAAGTAAAATTAAAAATTCTTAGCTCTAAAGAAAAAATGTGTTACACACAGAAAATATAATACACCTTGATTTTTAAATTAATAATGACATTTGACAACATGAGATGATAGGTATCTTTCTGTTACGTTGATATAATGCCGGTTTATAGCTAGAAAGTATATTTCTATAAATCCAGGTTTGTGAGTCCAAAGCAGCTCTGTTTTCCCTACTACTTGAATAATTATTTTCTTTGCTCAGATTTTAATTTATTACTATATAAAAAAGAACAATTTGTATATTCTATAGCAGTAATGGCTAACCTTTTTGTTCCTGAGTGCATGCACCCCCGTGAGTGTTCTCCATGCATGTGTGAATGACCCCCCCCAATGCCACCACCCTCCACGCAGGCACATGTGACTCCCATGTGTGTGCCCCGCCCCCATACATGAGAGTGTCTCCCACATGTGCCCCATGCTTGCATGGCAGAGACTAGGTGGCTGGTGGGAGGCGCTTGCATATGCACAGTGGAGCTGAGCTGAGGTTCACGTGCAGAGGGCTATGCGTTCCACCTGTGGCACATGTGCCATAGGTTCGCCATCACGGTTCTATAGTAATAAATTTTTGGCATGTATTCTTTAAACAACAGTGATCATATTACAAGTTTGTGAATATCAACCCAATGTGAAATATGAAAGTACGGTAACTCATGGATAAGGGTTCTTTCAGCTTTGATATCAGCTTTTTTTGTACATTTGAGGAATCTGGTAAATATAGAAAATAAGCACTTGTTGAATTAGTTTTTTCTTAAATTCATAGGAATTATATTTAATATTTTAAACACTTAATAATTCATTAATGTATGATATACTAGCATTTTATTCCAAAGTTTTTTTAAGATTAAAAAATAAATAATATTAATCGTTTAAAGAAGTTTGATTTAGATTTAGATGTAACTAAAATACATTTTGGTAATGGTAATTCAGGAGATTTATTTGAAGCCAATGCATCCAAACCAAACAAGTGTAGGTGATGTTTAATTGACTATATGCGATCTCATATTTTATACAGCTTAAATTCATCTTGAAAATAAATAAATTAGCTCAAGTACTGTTTTTGTGATAAGCTGATTTGAAGTATTAATGTTATTCATGGCTTCCAAAAAAGAAAGGTTTAACACCTCTTTTAAAATCGGTATTTTCCTAGGGTAAATGTTAGTTTTGTGAACAATAAAGGTGGAATTTTATCTGTGACTTCACATCTTCTAAAGTTTCCTTATGGACTTTAATATTGCATAAAACTGTGTTTAAAAGTAGAGACAAGCTACTTCAGGAAGGTTGCATAATACATTTTTTTGTTAGTGGACTGCTGAGTGTGAGTTCTATGGAACTTCATAATGGTTGACAGATGATATTCTATTTACCATAGCTCTTATGCAAAGAATGCTAAGTCAATACCACATATTAATCCAGTTGATAAAAAAATTGAGAAAAGACCATGCTTTTGTAAAACTTTTTTCAAGCATTTCTAATGTAACCACTGTTTCCTCTAAGGTGTGCGGCTGCGCGGCGACATGGCAAGAAAACCCAACGCAGCAGTTTCTAACTGCCGCGCAGTGATTTCTGTCAAAGCAAACATGGGGAAGTCCTTTGCAGGCGGCTAGAACTGGCCGCCAGCAAAGGACCTCCCCAGACTTGTTTTGATGAGCACGGAGCGACTGACAGTAGTTTGTGTCGGCTGCAGCCGCTCAAACTAGTGTCAGTCGCCCCCGTGTTCAGCAAAACAAGCCCGGAGAGGTTCTTTGTGGGCGGCCAATCTTAGCCGCTTGCGCCCAGCGCTGCGGCTGAAATAAACCCCCAAAGCCCCTGCCGCCACCGGAATATCTGCTGCCGCCTCCTCCTCCAACAGCACTGCCGGATTTGCCGCCCATCGCCGCGGCTGAGATGAAGCCGCCAAAGCTCCTGTCAGCACCCCCGCCCGTGGCAGTGGTGCCTCTCCCTCCACGCGGAGCACCTGAGCTGGACCCTGCCTTATCCCTCCCCCCTCCTCCTCTGCAGTGCTTTTGAGGAGCAATGAAGCCGCGGGAGCCAGTAGGAAGGCGGCGGAGGGGGCAGGAGCAGGAAAAAAAGGCCTCATGTCTTCTCAAAAGCACGGCAGATGATGAGGCGGCGGCAGGGGTAAATGCGGTGCCCAGCTCAGGTGCTCCGAGTGGAGGGGGTGCCAGTAGGAGCTTTGGCGGCTTCACCTCAGCCGCAGCGCCGGGCAGCAAATGTGGTGGTGCTGTTGGAGGAGGTGGCGGCAGTTATTCTGGTGGGGGGGGCTTGTCGGCATCTTCAGCGGCAGCCCTGCCCCCAGTGAAAAAACCGAAGATGGAGCAGATCCACATAGATGATGTCGCCGCAACATGACTGGAGGAGGAATTCTGGGAGTTGAAGTCCACAAGTCTTAAAGCTGTCAGGTTTGAAGACCCCTGAGGTTTTTTTCCCTAAAGGGTTATGGGTGCAAGGATCTTTTAACTTGACAGCTTTAAGACTTGGATGCTTCAATGCCAGAGTTTCTGAGCCAACATGACTGGAGGAGGAATTCTGGGAGTTGAAGTCCACAAGTCTTAAAGCTGTCAGGTTTGAAGACCCCTGAGGTTTTTTTCCCTAAAGGGTTATGGGTGCAAGGATCTTGTATATATACAATATATACAAGACTGAACTGTGTTTAATTCTACACCATGTAGAGGTAATATTAAATTCTGTTCATTTAGTTCTGTTCTTCTCTCTCTCTCTCTCTC